AGGGGAATGGCTTCCCTCGGCTCTGTGGGGAATGGAAGGCTTTCATCTCTGGCTAATAAAACTGTTCTGTTTGTTTTCCAAAAAATGCAGTGATTTGAATTCTGAGCAAGTAATACAGTTGCACAGATAGAGTGGGTGTAAAAGGCAGGCAGCGACGGGCTGGGCGCGGTGTAGTTCCCGATATGGACTGAGCTCTCTGGTTATTTTAGGTCCCCGAGAAACAGATCATAATGAAGTGGAGGTTTAAGTCTTGGCCAGAGGGTAAGCACATTGGTTCATCACCAGGCCCCCAGAACCTGTTCTTGCCCCTTTCTCCTGAGCCCCGGTGGAAACCCTTGGTCTGAAACCTCTCTCTGCCCGCTCCCAGGGCACTTCGCCACCATCACCTTGACCTTCACGGACAAGAACGGAGAGACAGAAGTGTGCATGGAAGGCCGGGGCGTGCCTGCTCCGGAGGAAGAGCGCACGCGGCAGGGCTGGCAGCGGTACTACTTTGAGGGCATCAAACAGACCTTTGGCTACGGCGCGCGCTTGTTTTAGCTCCGGCCTGCCCTGCACTTCAGTCCAGCCCTCTCCTGACTGGGGCTTGCAGCTCGCAGGATTGCACCATCCCAACCGCTAACTTGGGGCTGGGGCCCCTCCCCTCCACATACACCTTGGGTTCGTGCATGTTTTCTGCGGGGTGGGGTCAGAGGGTGATTTCTTTTTTGTGTACATACGCTACATAAACATAATTTTAAAACACACATCTGGACCCTGGGTTAACTGGCTGTTCTAAATGCTGAGAGTGGTGTGCCACTCCTCCCGCCCCCTAACCCCCAGTGCCTGGCCTGCTTACCCCCTCCAGCTGCTCACCTGCAGTCTGTTAGGAGTTGCCTGGAAGGTTCTGAGCTGCAGAAAGTGAGGGGCGGGGCGGGGGGCTGCTCTGCATGCGGTGTGAGCAACAGTAGTTAGGAAGGTATTTTGTAGTTCACGACTTGATGTTCCTCAGCTGGTCTCAGGCTGCCTGGTACAGCTCACTGCTTGCAGGCAGGGAGGCTGGTACTGGGAGTACACAGTGCTAACATGGCCACTGCCCGGCTGCAGGTGGCATTCTGAGTGTCCCACTTTGTCTGGCAGAGAGGGTCAGCGGGTCCTGCTGGATGTGCAGAGGCTGGAGAGCCCCATGCTTGCCTTGGGTGTCCAGCAGTGAGCAGTGCTGGAAGTACAGCGTGCAGCTGGCTGGCACTGGCACTGGCTCAGTCAACTTCCCAAACAGCCCCAGGTACTTGGGTCATTTTCCAGTTCTTTACTCAGGCTATCAGCAGGTAGTTGGACTGGCAGTGGGCAGCTGAGACACAAACTGGTGCCCATATGGGATGCCGCCATCACAGGCTTTAGCTGCTACACCACAACACCTGCCAGGGATACCAGCATTCCAAAGAGTGCCAATTGGCATTCTCTTGATGGGATTCCTGAACACTTTTGACGTGAAAATCACACAGTTTCCCAGCAGGAATGGATGGTGGGACACCGTGACTTAGCTCCTCTTGTTAAACTTGGGGACTCATCCATGGTGAAGTCTACTGTTGACAACACAGTGGGCATCATTGCCCCACACCCTGGACCCTTGGCTGGGCCCTGCACTCCAGCAGTGTGACTGTGGCACAGAAACGGATCTTTCTTCGGGCTGAAGAGGACTGGTGCGGTAGCCTAGTAGCTAAGTCCTCCCTTGCCTTGCAAACGCTGGGATCCCATATGAGTGGAGCTAGCCAGGGGCTGCAGTACCAGCTACAGCAGGCTTGTTCTGCTTCCCGTTGCCTGCAGGTGGCTGAAGCAGCCCAGTCACTAACAGCACACAGCCCAAGCCCCAGGCTCTCCCGCCCTTAACCATCTTGCATTCTACCTGGCCTCTGGCCTCACACCCCTACCGTGAGTGAACCACTGTGGCCTCCTCTCAAAACAACTGTGCGAGGAAGGGGGGCTGGGGAGCGGACAAGACCTGAAACCAGCTGACACACACACATGCCTGTCCCAGCCCTGCCACCCCTCTTACCCCACTCTCATGGGGGCAGGGCACAAGGCTGCGCTCTTTACCATAGTTTCTGCTAGGGTCAACATTTCTCTCCCATCTCATTCCTCTTACAAGAAGGCTCAGCCACGAGCCACCAGGAAAGTGATCCACTACGCCTTAGCAACATCTCCTGCTTTTCCAAATCAAGTACTAGTCCCTGGCTGCCCATTCCCTACTCGGCAGTTTGGAGACCGCTTCCCCTTCCCCCGCCGCCCACCTACTCCCTGAGCTCCGTCAATTCGCACTGGAAGGGGCTCAAAACCTGATCTGAAAAAGAGGCTGTGCCAGGGCAGGTCACGTGAATTTCCGAACCACCAGCTATTCCTTGGCTGAAGGCCACGGTCCCCAGCCTCTTTCGGAATGGAAATGTGCACACACAGCACAGACAGAGCCACCACAGGTGAGGTTCGATCAGGAAGAGCCAGGCGCGGTGGACAGCCCACTGCAAAGGGTCGGGCCACATTGCTTAACACGCAAGTGCAATTCCTCCCGCTGCTAAACCGCCGCGGCTCGAACAGGGGGTTGGGGAAGTTGGCGAGGAGGCGCACCTGCCATCCCCAGGATCCGAAGGCAGTCATTAGCTTCTGTCCCAGCTTCCCCGGCCCTCTCCGCCCGCGACTTACGCGGGTGGAAGCAAAAGGACCCACTGCTCGCGCCCAGTAGCTCACCTCCGCCAGCTTCGCGTGGTTCCCGGCTTGGGGTCGGGGCTCCGCGACTTCCTCAGGGACAGCAGTGGCGCGCCAAGAAGCCTCGCTGGCAGCGAGCCGCTCTGTCGCGGTGCCAAGCGCTCTCGGGTTCCTTGACTGCTCGCCCCGCCTACGTGGGGGGCGGGGGCGCTATTGGCACGCCCTCTCGGCCAGGGCCCGGGGTGGCAGGTGCAGCGCGATGCCCGCCCTGCTGCACACACACTCTCCTCCCGAGCCAGCTGGGAGAGGCGGTGGACAGAGAACCTGCCCCGCAGCTGGGTGTCCCCGAATTGTGTTCAGGATTGCAGCATGATGGCCTGGCCCCGAGACTTGAAGGAAACCCTGGTTCTTGGCAAAGGGATCCTGAAGGACAGTGGCCGCCTCAGTGGCTGGGGGCTGTTGGGGAAGTCATGATGTACAGCTACCGGAGTGTCCTGGGGGACATTGTAGTTTTCCAGAATCTCTAGTCCCAAGAGCACAGCACAAGCCTGAATGGTGTGTGGTGGTGACAATTGGGCTGCCGGCTTGCGTCCTTCCACCATTTACTAACCGGGCGACATTACTGGATGAGTTCCCTTTGTGCTTTCCATCAAGGAAAGGTGGGGAGGATGCAGAGGCGTGTCACTGCATCAGTTGCCATACCTTGGTCAAAGAGTGCAATCTTGCCGGTTTCCTTAACAATAATCCTAGTACAGGACAAGCATGAGCTTACAGGAAACCCAGCTTTCCAGCACTGCCACCCCATACGGCATCGAGGCCATCTTGTTCTTTAAAGGTTGGTTTTTTTATTTATGGAGTAAAGAGGGAGCAACCCAACCTAGTAGTCCTTTTTTGAGGTTTTATTTATTTATTTTTAAAATTTCTTACCAGGCGGAGTTTGGGAGAGATCTTATGGTTCAATTATCAAATGGCTGCAACAGCTCAAAAGTCTCACCTGGCAGAGGGGATGGAGTTCCAGGCCCAAACCAGGCTATTGTGACTGACCATTGCCAAGGTGACCGGAGGGCAGAGCCTGCTGAGCCCAGTACTTCACCCCGACCTCAGGCTACAACCCGCTTCTCAGGCCTCTGGGTCATTGCTGAGCCAGTGACTGACACAAACCAATACTCCCCACCAAATGAGGACTGAAGTGACCCCTGCTTCAGCTTCTAAGTCAAAAGGAGTTTAAAACTTCCCTGCTCGTCCATTCCTGGCTTTTCCTTCTCTGTAGCTCCTTGCTTCACATCTGTCTTTATGCTACACGGGGAAGGGAAGCCCTTGACCCAAGTTCCCTGGAATAAAGGCTGTCTAAATTCTTTTCTATACGTGGCCGATATGTTCCTTCCCTGATGGTTGGCAAACCTAACAATGACCATCAAGGGAGTGAACCAGCAGGTAGATCTCTGTCTCTACCTGTGTCCATTCTGCTTTTCAAATGAATAAAACAAAAAATATTTATGTTATTGGAAAGTCAGATTTACGGAGGAGAGACAGAAAAATCCTCTTTCTGGTTTACTCCCTTAAGCAGCTGCAATGGCCAGAGCCGAGCCAATCTGAAGCCAAATTCTTTTCCTGCCTCCCATGTGGGTGCAGAGTTCTTAGGCTTTGGGTCATCCTGGACTGCTTTCCCAGGCCACAAGCAGGGAGCCGGATGGGAAGTGGAGCAGTTTGGACACAAACTGGTGCCCAAATGGTATCCTGGCACATGCAAGGCGAGGATTTAGCCCCTGAGGCATCATACTAGGCCTATAAAACAAAATCGTAAAAAACAAATTAAAAACCCCGCATTAACAAAAGCCAGCATCATGCATGTATAGTGCATCTAGTCACTGACTTTGAGCTGTTGCTCGGTAGGTCACAGGTAACTGATAGCAAGAAAAATAATGGTCTGTGGAATTTCTTTTTTCTCCCCTGTGGAAATTCTGTCCTGTAGTTCACATGACTTCCCTCTCCCAGGATGGAGACGTTTTGCTTTTACTTGCACATTGAGTATTCCTACTAAATTTCTGCTTTAAAACACATCATTTGAACTGATTCTTTGAACATTATTACCACTATCTCATCAAGTCGTGATTTTATGCTTCGGGGGGAGATTATCTTTTAATAATCATTTTGTGTGGCTAATCTGAAGAATCAACTGACCCCATGTATCACACTCGCTTTTACCCCATTGCACGAAGTAGTGTGTTCATGTATCTGTCCATTGGAAGGTGGGAACTGGAACCTATGAGTTCCTGGTACAGTCGCACAATACTTCCTGATTGAATGAATAAAGGCAGATGTACCTTTCTGAGTATTTTATTGGGGCAAAACAACATTGGCATGGGATGATTCAGTCATCGCAAACAGTTCCCTTCGGTTCTTAAACATGCGCTCTCCAAATGTGCACACCCACTACAGCTTCACAGTCATCCAATAATGTAAAAAAATAAAAGTAAAAAAATAACAATCACCTGACAAAAGGGGAAGCAGGGGAAGGGAGAAAGTGACATTTGAACACATTACTACAACTGATACATTTTTATTTACACTTCCCTTTCTCTCATTTTCTCAGGTCATTTGAACATTATAGCAACGGAAAGAGTTATAATCATAGCACCTCTTGCAAATTCCAGTTTACAGGGGAACTTAGTGAGGCAACCATGGGCCAACAGAGCGTCTGGGCGCTCCCACAAGCTACGGCTCTCCCGCTTCCCCCTTCTCTTTCTGTTACCCAGAGAGGGATCATCAAGCCTGCGCCATGCTGGTTGCACGCACAGCGATGCCCAGCAAGGATGCTTTTTATAATTCCAACCATCGGTTTCACATCACTGAGGCAACAAGGCCTAAGGTAGAGGGTGAAGACAAGTCACAGCGCCACCCTAGGCAGTCCCCTAGTCTCTTGGCAAGCGATGTGGGAGGAAGCTGGGAATGCTGTCACAGAAGCAACTCGGTGCGAGTGTCCTCACGCATGGAGGGATTCATTCATTCCTCAGCCCTGCTACTGCTCCGTGAAGAACAGAGGACACACACTGGAAGTGCCAACGTATTCTTTTAGGTCAGGTGATTATAACCCATCATTCCAGGAAGAAGCAGATTAGGGTCATTCATCTGGTAGACTGTGCAGTAAATAAATCCCTGCCCACAGCTTTCCCGACCAAGTCGCTGCCAAGTGTGGACCACAAATGGGTCAGCTCCTGCTTCACCAGAGACAAGAAATAACATTCTTCACTAGGAACCCACGAGACCCTTGGCTTTCCTCCACAGAAAACAATCTGCAAGGGAGGGAGCTAGGCAAATGGAAGTCACAAGCAACGTCCAAAGAATTGCATTTTCTACACTAGCAAAGCAGAGGGATTGCTGGCAACCCACGGCATCACTTCTGTGTAACAGGGAGGAGAAGCCTAGCCTCCAAGTGGGCCACCTGGCTGGGCACCCAGCCCTGGGCTGCAAGCCTAAGTGCTCACTTCCTGTGGCTCACACCGAGGAGAGGAAGGGACATGCACTTCTCCCTGTGGAAGGCATTTTGATGAAGGGGCTTGGTACTGCATCTTCATCTTAAACAAGCAGCAGCACATTTACAGGTTGTGGGGCTGCTGCAGACAGGAAAAAACGAAGTCTGTTAACTTCTGGGCTCAACAGCCAAAAAGAATCCTTGATTTTCATACCTCCTTCCTCACAACCATTTTGGACTAAGCCAGTTTTACCTGTGTGAAACACTCAACAATTCTTCCTAAGTGTAGACGGGAAAGGAAAAACTACTACTCTTCTTTTTTGTCCAACCACACAGTGATAACAAACATTTTTTGCTTGCCTAGAATGCCAGGAGAGCCAAGGGCACCCTGGGAATTAGGTTACAGAAATTATTTATACAAAAGGACAAATGCATTTAACCTTCTTCAGGTGGTTTTGTCACACAGCTACAAAATCTCTCCATGTCAGATCTCCAGATTTTCACTATTAGGAAGGAAGCAAACAGTGTCAGACTAGAAAGTCCACTTACACCTGGCTAGTCGTGAGAAGCTGAGAGGCTCCTCAAGGTGGGAAGGAAGTTGCTTCCTGCCTGCTCCTGCAATGGAAGGCTGATGCGCATACAGACCCATGGAGCTGACCCCCTGAGCATCACAACCCAGCACCACCACAGCACTGTCTTCTCTGCAAACTAAGAACTGGAAGGGACAGAAAGATGGAAGGGCCCAGTCAAGGCCGGATGGCCTCCGGACAGGAATCAAAGGAAGGCTGCTGCACCCTAGGCCTCTGACGGCCTTGCGGGTTGTTAGGTGGATGCTGTTCTCCTTCAGGGATCGTGTAGAAGAATCCTGCTCTGATCACCTGACATCTGCACCCCAGCACCTGAGGTAAAACAATGACTAAATCTTTTTTTTTTTTTTAAGATTTTTTTTTCTTTAAATTCAAATCAAAGTAAAATGTTAAGGGTATTCTGGACTCCTTGACCCTACTAGGTTAACATAAAGAGAGGAGAAACTGCCACGTGATGTGATCCTTATGTTCCTTAACCATACATGACCTGGCTTCTGATATGATTTGCTCAGAGAGGTCTCATGAACCTGAGAGGGACAAAGGCAATGGGATGAGGAGAAGTGGAAAGGCTTAGTCCCACACGTATTGATTAACACCTATAATTCACTCTGGTGGTGACAGGTAACGGACACCTATTTGGATCCCATCAGATTCTTGAATCAGGCTGTACTGCACTGGGTACTAAGCAATCCTGTGCATTCTCAGGAACTGCATTTACATTCACTTGCACTTCTTCAAGAATTTGGATAAACAATGGTACTTATGATATGACTGGCTCCCTGGACTTATATTAATCAGTGTCATGAAGAGACAGGACCACATGTATAATATATACAAAATTCTGTCTTTTGGGGCTGTCATGCTGGCACAATGGGTTAAGTAGCTGCCTGGGTACCAGCAACTGGCATTCTGTATGGGAGCAGCAATTTGAGTCCTTGGCACTGCTTCTGACCCAGCTCCTTGCTACCGTACCTAGGAGGCAGCAACACATGACCCAAGTCTTTCAGTCCCTTTATCCACCTGAGAAATCCAGATGGAGTTTCAAGCTCCTAGCTTCATCCTGGCCCAGAACCTGGCTACTGTGGCCATCTGGAGAGTGAATCAAAGGTTGAAAAATCTGTCTCTCCTTTTTCTCTAAACTCTGCCTTTCAAATAAGTAAAATTTTTCTTAAATCTATCCTCTAGAGAATATAGAAGATCTGGATAGGTCCTGTGAGCAGTTGTCTCTTCAAAATAAACTGGCAATTTAATTCAGTTTATCCTGAAACAAATCACCAACAAAGTATTTTAAAGCCAAAATAAGACCAGAAGGCAAGGTCACTGCTTAAAGTTTGTGACTTTGGCAAGTCCTACAGCTGTCCCACGGGCAGTGGCTGCAGTGCTAAAGCAACCCGGTACTTCAGTGGGATTCTAAAGTGAGGACTGGATGTGAAGAAAGCGTGAGCAAGGTATTTGATCTTACAGGACTATTCAGGCACCACAATGTTTTTATTATAATTTGTTCAGGTCTCTTCTGGGTTTTTCTTGTTCTTTGAAAAGCAAAACAAAATCTGACTACCTCAAGAGCTTAAAGCTCTCAGAAGTCAAGAGTGACTGAAAAATAACTTAGATGGAAGACATGGAAAGGACCAATCTCAAAAACAGAGATGTGGGAAATGACTCACACATGGCTTTCTCTTGTCTTTCTAACCCGTCTCCTACAAAAACACAAGCTGATCTAGGGTACAATGAAGCCAGAAATTTTGTTCACTTAAGCTTTGGTCAACAGAAAGAACCTCAAAGGGGTGATTTTCAGATTTGTTCTTTGGTCACACAGTATAAAGCTTTCTGAAAGAAGTCCCCTGGCCTAGTTACAGTCAAAAAAACAGGCTCTCCTAGCTGAGCAAAATGTTGAAAATTCCTCAGAGAAAAAGGAAAACAAAACAAAAAAAACAGAACCAGAAGGACTGGTAGAACCTAGCTCTGGATGCTGAGTTAAAACTGTCTTGGAACACCAAGAATAAAAGAGAACTAGCATATGTAAGTGGATTATTAGCTTCCAAAAGGGCTAAGTTATTTAGTAAGTTTAATCCTTAAATGGGAACATGACAAATTGTGTCTGAGCAGAGGATTCACTACCATTTTCCTTTAGTAGCTTAAGTCCTAATCTGGACCGAGCTCCAACCCGAGGCTGTCAGCATTTGGCCAAGCAGAAAGCAGCAGGATGTCCTAAGCACAGACCTGCAGGTAGGTACATCACCAGGGTGGCCCACAAGTGCTTTCACAAGGATGCTTTCAGCACGGGATTCCACAGTCCAGGCAGGTCCCCGACTCTGCACATACCCCCAACTGTGACCACCGAAAAGCAGCAGCTGATGGTGAAGACAGTGGAGGAAGCCCACAGCCCTGGGAGGCCCTGGTGGGGGAACTGCACACAGACTCTTTCAGCATTGCTTTTCCCTATCTTTCTGAAAAAGCTGAGCTTAGAAGAAAAAGAATACTTTGGCTGGTTGCTTGACTAGTTAAACCAAGATGCCAAGGTGTGTAAGCTCAGAGGCCTGGATGGGAAGTAAGTGGAAGGCACTTGCTCCCTGGGGAGGAGGGCGGCGGGGCCAGGCCTCTCCATGGGCCCATGCTCGTGGGTGACTGAGGGCGGCAGTAGCCTATGCGGTTAGCCAAAGACTGGGCTCAGCGTGATCTCACAAGTAGAAGGGTTATAAAATAAAACATTTTTTAATGGACAAAAGAGCAAAGTGAGTCACCTCAGTTTGTAAAGGGGAGGTGTAGCAAGGGAAGGGGAGATGACGCAGTTTTTTACTATTTACAAGTCGTCATGTGGAGTGGAGGCAGTCACCATCGACAGGTGAGGAAATGTCTTTCACGTGAGGTGGCCACAGAAGCGTGGTTGCTGGAGCTGGCTCAGAAGGGCCACACACTGTCCTGGGCGAGGGAGCACCAAAAAGGCTCAGTCTTCCCATTCTTCATAGGTAGTCTCGTCAAAGGGCCTGTCCAGGAGAGGCACCAACCGATGGCGGGAGTACTTCAACTGCAACAGGTCCCCAACTTCATCTATTTCCTTTAACGCCTGGAAGATAAAAGAAAAAGGAAGATCAGTGGTAGCCAGTGGGATTTCTTCAGACCACACTATGGTGTATCTCTGGGAAGAGATCTTTTAGGATAAAGCCTTAGGCTGACCATGTATAACGCATTGGGAACAACCAGGTATGCAAGCAAATGGGTATAGTTCATCCAAGCATGATACGCTTGCTGGAGATCTATGTGCCCCAAAATTGCCACTATCTTTTTTCCCCCCTAACCTCAGAATTTGCTCTTTCTAGGACTATGCAAGCTACATCCCAGGAAGTGCTGGAGAGTTTGGGTTGAGATGCTTCCTAGATGCAGCATTAATAAAGCCCCACAGGGGGTTTCTGTGCAGACTTTGTAAGAAAAAGCAGAAGTGGCTAGGAAACTGGGCAGGTAACAGACATGACATAAGCAGGGAACCGGAAGGAGAAGACTGGATAACCGTTGGAGAAAGCATTTGGCCTTGCAGGTCAGACACCTGTGCCTACACACTCAAGACGCTGGCCTTTGAGCCAGCTTCCTGCTAAGGTACCCCCTGGCAGGCAGTGGCGATGGCTCATGGGATTGAGCTCCTGGCTCATGGCGCCAGCACCAGAACCAGACTAACCACAGTGGCTGCGGGCATTTGGGGAGCGAAATACCAGGAGAGATGGGAGCTCTCTCCCTCTCAACACCCCCAATTCCAACCCCAAGCGATTAGTTTCTCCATCGAAACTCTACCTCAGATTTATTCTTATGTTTTTTTTTTTAAAGATTTATTTATTTATTGGAAAGTCAGATATACAGAGAGGAGGAGAGACAGAGAGGAAGATGTTCTATCCGATGATTCACTCCCCAGGTGACTACAATGACCGATGCTATGCCGATCCGAAGCCAGGATTCAGGAACTTCTTCCTGGTCTCCCAAATGGGTGCAGGATCCCAAGGCTTTGGGCCGTCCTCAACTGCTTTCCCAGGCCACGAGCAGGTAGCTGGATGGGAAGTGGAGCTGCCGGGATTAGAACCGGCGCCCATATGGGATTCCGGCGCGTTCAAGGTGAGGATTTAAGCTGCTAGGCCACGCCGCCAGGCCCTATTCTTATGTTTTCCAGTGAAACATTTTATAGAAGGTTCTCCCACCCAAAAAGTGATGAAATGGAGTGTCTTTCCGACTGTTACACTAGTTCCCCCTCACAGAGATCATTCTTGTATGGCTTCTTATTTAATATATATTTTTTTAAACAAACTCTTAGTTGAAGCGTAATACACAGGAAAACGCTCTAATGGTGAGCGTCAGTTCAGAGTAAATCATTTCCCAAAGCCTGGCAGCACAGAGTGTCAGGGCAGAAGAACCAATACGAGCAGGCAGGTGTGGTTCTGAACCCCCAAAATATAGATCAACAGCGTCCGCCCTGCAACAAATCTCGAGCTCAGGTGACTCAGACAACGAACTCCACGTTAGTATTGACATTCTGAAAGGTCAGTGGGCAGTGGAAGCCATATTACCAGGCAGGAATCTTGTGCAGTGGTTAAGATCACACTTGAGACATCCGTCTACGCCCACACTGGAGGACCTGAATTTCTGTCCCAGCTACTCTGCTTCCAGTCTAGCATCTGGCTAATGAGTATCGAAGCAAGCAGCAGTGATAGCTCAAGTACTTGGGCCTATTACGACACACAAGGGAGACTGTTTCAAGTTCTGGAAACTTAGTCTGGCCCAGACTCAACTGTCATGGACATCTGGGGAGAGAACCAGTAGATGCAGTAGGGCTCCATTTCTCTGCCTTTCAGATAAATAAGACAAACCTCCCCCACCAAAACACACAGAAAGAAAAATGGCCTATTGCCTGGCTGTTATTTTCAAATTCTCCGTGTCACATCAACTTTACAGCCATGATTTTGAACAAAAACATGTATCTTATATTTCATAGCTGGTTACCAATATAAAGACATTTATTTGTTTTTTAATTTAAAAATATCACTATTTGAAAGGAGGAAAAAAGGCCACCAGTAGAATTCCTTAGGTATTCAAGCCTAAGAAAAAAATTTCTGCATTATAAAATGTGAAAAACCTAAAGGAAATAGGACTGGGACTTCACTATGCTCTTGGAGCAGTGGTGGTTTGAGAGGTTTAACTGAAAGCTCCCCAAGGCAATACATCAGAATGAACTGCAGCTGGGAGAACTCATTAACCGCGTATTCCCCTACTCTCTGGCACAGGATCTATTATTTTAAAACAAAAGTGCATGGTTTACTAAGATCACAAAGGAAAGAACATTTATTACCTCTGACTTCAAAAGAGCTTAATATTTTTCATCAATGTAAAAATTAGGTTATTAGATGGGGGGAAGCCACAGTAGCCCCAGGGAATCTAGATGACAAGACTGTCTCTTAGCCCACACCAAATAAAGAAGTTTTACCCACATAAAAGATGTTACAATAGGAACTGCTGGCTCTTAAAAGGGGTCAAATCAGGACTAAGACAGCGCAACGCCCGATGCTATGCTGGTCTGAAGCCAGGATCCAGGAACTTCTTCCGGGTCTCCCACACGGGTGCAGAATCCTAAGGCTTTGGGCTGTCCTCAACTGCTTTCCCAGGCCACAAGCAGGGAGCTGGATGGGAAGTGGAGCTGCCGGGATTAGAACTGGTGCCCATATGGGAACCAGGTGGGTTCAAGGCGAGGACTTTAGCCGCTAGGCCACGCCACAGGGCCTGGTCCTTGGTTCCTTTGGTAAGATACCATCTTCTACTTCAAACAGCACTGTGGCCAATCGTCCGTATTACCAGAAATTATAGCAGATGCTCAGACTCTTAATCAGCAGAGGGCTAATATAACCAGAAACAGGTGACCAATGGCTATTATCACCAACAAAAGATAAATTTCACCTGATACAGTGGCACAAAGGCTTATGTATAGGAAAGTGAAATTGTCTACTTACAGTATCAAGGATTTCTTTGGTATGAGCTGCTGAGAGACAAAACCTGGCTCTGGACTCAATAATTGGGGTCGCAGGAAATCCTACCACAACCACACCAATGTTCCGCTTCAGCATCTCCCGTCCAAACGCACTGCAAGACAGAGGGAACAGAGACCAAGAAGAGGAGTAAGTCCCACAAAACAAAGATTCTCCTATGCTGAATGAGTTACAATTTTGATGCTGTGTACATTGGACAATTCTAACAGGAGATTCCTCTAGCTTCCTGGGGGTCTTTCAAGCAGGTACAGGGTCCCAAGATCTTGGGCTGTCCTCTACTGCTTTCCCAGGCCGCAAACAGAGAGCCGGAAGAGCAGCTGGGACACGAACTGGTGTCCATATGGTGTCCTGGCGTGTGCAAGGCGAAGATCATAGCACTAGGCTACTATGCCAGGCCCTCAATTTTTTTTGTAAGGCACTTAACACCTTCTATTGTAAGTCACTTTTCATGTTTGACTTGTGATGCTTCTGGTTTGTGCACTTGATATATCTCAACCCTCTGGAAGAGGACACAAAACTTCAACGACACATTTTGCAACGATTTGGAATCCTACTAATCTGTGGGCTATCCAGTTAGTGAAGATGAACACGATGATGACACAGTGGTTCTCCCCTCCCTCAGAGAACACACGAGCCCTGCCCATGCCTCCCCGCTGCCCTCTGTCCGGTGAGCGACATACCCTATCTTGGCTGGCATGTAGAGCATCAAGGGCACCACTGGAGAATCTTCATTCCCATAGATGATGAAGCCCATCTCCTTCAGGCGTCGCCTGAAATACCTGGTGTTTTCAGCTAACTGCTGCACACACTCTTTGCCTGGAAAACAGTGAGGAGAAAAAAAAAAAAAAAAAAAAAAACAAATAACATTAAGGGGGGAAAAAAAGGGCAGAATCTCTTCTGTTTCTACCTCCATTCCACCCAATCAGCTCAATGTTTCATTTCTTCCATTTCAACATAAAATATTTTAGCACAATGCACTGTATGGAATATAAATACAAATTAATATATCTCACTTTTTCTATTGTTATTCTAGCTGCTGATAATAGATCCAAGTGCATACAAGGCAAAGACTTGTATGCAACTAGCTACTGCACCAGGGCCAAAAGCTAGAATTTCAAATGTTGAGTAGACTTGGTCAGAATTTCCTGGATCTCATATTTCCTCGGCTTACTCTAACTCGAAACTAGGAATTCAGGTACACACACACCGGCAACATAATTCCCATTAGTATCTGACCTTGGTTCCAAGCTAAGATGCCTTTAACCTACAGTGGTCAACCTAATCACCCTCTCTTCCTCAGGAGAATGACAAGAACTCGAGGAGATATGGGAGGAAGGGGAGAGAAGCGCTTTCAAAGAGGATGGCACAGAGGGTCTTCCTTGCCTTGCAGACTAGGGCTCTTCTGAAGGCTCTCCACTCACTAAGGGCAACGAGTCCTCCAGAAACAAAGGGAAGTCTCATACTAACAGTCAGCCACATGCTGTGTTATGTTACTTTCAGCAGGATTTACTTCCCAATAAGTGCTTAATGTAATCTGGTATCCTACAATAAAAGTGTTTTGATCATAAAAGCATTGTATTTTGACAGTACAGAATGTAACTGAATAAAAATAGATCTGTCACCCAGGAAGTAGGGCCAGTTTTGTTCACAGTAATGCTGCCAAACACCACACCGCTGACTAACAAACCTGCTTCTTGTTCCACCGAACCTCGCTGCTGTCCAGACAAGGCATTTGCACTCACACTACTTCACTTCGTGTTTCCTCCACAAGTCACCACGGAGTGATAGCCACTATCTTTAATTCTACCAGAAGCTGGTTACCTTTACAAACTTCAAAACATCTGATAAAACACGTTAGACAGTGACTACTTCAAAACTTGCTGATCAGCAAACTTTAGACAGTATCTACTGACCCTGAGTACGGTAACTTTCTGGTAATGGGAGAGTAACTTGTGCCAACATCACAGCAAGGTACATATGCACAAGAGTCTCACCCATACACGCAAAGGAGATGTGTGCAAAGACCACTGCTGCATTCTCATGTGATGGTCACATGACAGAAGGAAACAGAAGGGAAGAAATTTAATACGAAGCAAAGTAAGCTGCGTAACTTCACAACATAACCAATTTACATACCTTTCAAAAATACAAACCAAACTGGATAAAGAAAATGTGGTATGACACATACACCAGTGACTACCACTTGGCTACTTTAAAACAAAGAAAAAAAAGCATGAAATCCTGTCTTTTGCAACAAAATGGATGCAACTGGAAATCGTTATGCTTAGCAAAACAGGCCAGGCCCAAATGACGAATATTATGTTGTCCCTGATTTGCAGGAATACAGAGTTAAAAAAAAAATTATATGAGCAAAATGACCATTTTGAGGTTTACAGTTCACAGAGCTTGTCTACACTCCTGGGGAGCAGTGGGTTTTGTCCTACTTACTATGTGTTCAATTTCTTACTCGAGGGTTAAGCTCGTGAGCATAAAATAAACTGAAAATCTGTCATTGTAAAAATCAAAAGCGAAAATAAGAGAGGAAGAAGGAGAGAAGGTGAGACTGTGAGGTGGATGGGCTGGGGGACGGCAAGTATTACTATGCTTCTTAATCTGTACAAAATACATAAAATTTTCTCACCTTATGTAAATAGTAAATGTTAAAAAAAATGTTTAAATGTGAAAAACACTCAAAATAGTAACAAGTTCTCATTAATGAAATTCAATTTGTTCCTGAATGTGCTAGAATATACATTTTCAAAGAATAAAATCTATTATAAAAAAAAAAAAACGAGGAACAAGTCAACTTGGGCTCCTGCACAACTGAAAACTCGTGGGGCACTAAGCAGTTAGTGGGTTTTGGTGAAGGCACTAAGCCTCAATCATTTTTGTAAGTTACGACAGCAAGGAAACAGGTTTCAAACAGCTGGGGAGACTTAAAATTACAGATGCTTTGTGCATACTTTGAAAGTAAAACGGGGGCCCAGCACGGTAACCTAGTGGCTGGTGTCCTGGCCTTGCATATACTGCAATTCCCATACAGATGCCAGTTCATGTCCCGACAGCCAGGCTTCCCATACCAACTCCCTGTTTGTGGCCTGGGAAAACAGTAGAGGACAGCCCAAAGCCTTGGGACCCTGCACCTGTGTGGGAGACCAGAAGAGGCTCCGGGTTCCTAGGATTGGCTTAGCTCTGGTCACTGTGGCCATTTTGGGTGTAAAAACTCACAGCACAAAACAGTTTCCAACAGAAACATAACAACACAGCTACTGTTCACAAGGAACTTTCAATAAAGCTCTAATGCTATGTCTGCCACATTAGTGAAAAGCTTCTTTCTTAAGGAAACCAATTCCTGACCCTGGAAACCGTCACAGCACTGTTTCCCAGAATCTCTCGCTGCAGAAAACAAGCATCTGCAACAAGCATTGCGGTTAAACACAGATTTAGGAAATAGTAATACGCCAATCAAAATGAGATTGACTATTCCTGTTCCTCCAAGCACATCAAATCAATCTTACACCAAAGTTTTACAGAACTGTAGGATGCAGAGGTCAAGGCTGATAATTTTCACAAGAGCCAAACTGAATTTAGAAGCACTAAAGAAAACAAATTAATATATGCTTCACACAGGTGAGGGAAGCACTTTTTAAAGAGCAGCAATAACCAAAAATCTCAACTGCTCCTTTTTATTACAATTATTCCATTGGCCCACACTGCCCTCTGGTGATGCAAAATGAAAGTCAAATAGCAAACAGTGCCCGGCGCACCTCGCTCATGTTAGCATGCTGAAGACAAGGCACCTTGTTAAAGACAATTTTCAGTATTTACTGTTTGTCAGTTTAGAAAATTCATTTTTTAATGATTGATTTATTTTTATCGGAAAGTCAGATATACAGAGGAGGAAAGAGAGAGACGAACAACTGTCCACTGGGTCACTCCCTAAGTGGCTGCAAAAGCCAGTGTTGAGCTGATCTGAAGGGAGGAGCCAGTGGCTTCTTCGGGGTCTCCCACGTGGGTGCAGGGCCCCAAGGCGTTGGACTGGCATCAACTGCTTTTCCAGGCCACAAGCAGAGAGCTGGATTGGAAGTGGGGCAGCCGGGACCCAATTGGTGCCCATGTGGGATCCTGGTGTGTGCAAGGTGAGGATTTAGCCACTAGGCTACTGTGCTGGGCCCAGATTAGAAAATCTTTAAGAAAGTATTAAATCCGGGATACTATTTTAGGGAATGGCAACTCTTCAATTTGCTGTTAAGGAAAGAACACTACACAGTGAATTGCATCTTCACATACAGTGATGCAATTCCAGAAAGATCCTGCAGCATCTACTGGCTGTGAGTTAGAAAGCATATAGCAATGCCTCCAAATCTGTAAACAAGAAGACGCCACCACGGGCGAGCCCATGCAGGTCTCAGGGCACGTGCATCCATCATGGACATGTGTCCTTGGAAACCAAGGCCTTACAGACTGGCCAGCTCTGCCCGTCAGCACATCTGACTTCTCATCTTAGGGGAAACACAAAACGAAAATGCTTTGGCTGCTCAGTATTTACCGAGTCTAAGGTCTCCGGGACAGACAGACTCACCGAGGTTTGTGCCATCGTGGCCCATGATACACTTCATGGAGGTGATGATCTGCTCCACCACAGGCGGCGACAGCGACGTGGCGTACACAGCACTGTGCGAATGCGTGCGCAGGTAGTCAATCAGCTCCTGCGGGGTCACAGAGGAGACAAGCAGGGCTGCGTCAGCGCTCTCCCTCAGGGCGCTGCCGGACTCCTGGCTCCTGCCCGGCCCAGCGCCAGTCACCGCACGTATTTGGGGAATGAACAGCAGATCAAAGATATCTCTCTGTCACTCTTCCAAATGAACAAATGATTGAAAAAAAAATGATGTGCATCTTACCGTATGCCTGTGAAGCCCAGCCTGAACCTCCAAGCTCATAATTGCCTAATATCATTTTTTTTAAAAGTTTTTTTTTTTTTTTAAATTGGAAAGGCAGATTTACAGAGGGAGGATAGACAGAAGATCTTCCATCTGCTGGTTCACTCCCTAAGTGGCTGCAATGGCCAGAGCTGAGCCAATCTGATCTGAAGCCAGGAGCTTCTTCTGGGTCTCCCACATGGGTGCAGGGGCCCAAGACTTTGGGGCATCCTCTACTGCCTTCCCAGGTTACAAATACGAAGTGCGATGGGAAGTGCAGCAACCAGGACACAAACTGGTGGCCATATGGGATCCTGGCACATGCAAGGCGAGGATTTAGCCACTAGGCTATTGCATCAGACCCATCTAATATCAATTTTAAGATATATATCAATTTTCCATGTATCCTTCAGATACACAGAAACGTATGAAATGACAACTATGGCACAATTTAAATAGGAATTCACTAGGATTTTCATTAGAATGATTATGGTACCTCAACAAGTAACATTAAAAATCCTTTTTGTCAACTAACAAGGATTTTTAAAACAATGAATTATATTTCCCCATTCCTTCATTAGATCTTTACATAAAAGGCACACAGAGCAGCTCACGTACCAGGACCAAGTGATGCAAATGTGTCTGTAAAATAGTCAATTGCTTTAAAAATACTAAAGATTGGGGTAAGTGCTGTAGTGGATTAGGTTAAGCTTTCATCAGCAGCACCAGGTCCCGGCTGCTCCACTTCCATCCCAGCTCCATGCTAATGAGCGGAAGAGCAGTGGAGGGGGGCCCCAATCCCTGACACTGCACCCATATGGGAGTCCTGGAAGAAACTTCTGGCTCCTAGCTTTGGATTGGCCCAACTATGATTATTGCAGCCATTTGGGGAGTGAAAAAGGGGTAGAGGGGCTCTCTCTTCTCTCTCTCTGTAACTAACTTTCAAATAAAATAAAACAAGCATTTAAAAAAAAATACTAAAAATTGTACCTAAGAAAACTCAAAAGCACAAAGATATTATACTTAAATGGTCTCCCAAAGTATCACTTCCCTAATTTGGGGTTCACAGGAATAAATCTTACCAAAAAGCAATTAACTCTACAACAGAAAGGAAAATGCAACCTAATAAAAACTGGATAATCTGTAAAATAGCATAAATTATTAGAATAATTCACACTAAGGCTAACAATGAAGACTTTCAACACTGAGTTTTAAGCAAGAACATTTCTGAGCACCTACTACGTGCCACAGGATGCCTGCCAACTGTTCTTTAGTCCTGCTGCGATGAGTTCTCTGAGTAATAGGCTTATTGAGACACAAACATACCACAATACTCATCTTTTAAAACTATACAATTCAGTGATTTCACACATACATTCAAAGTTGTATAACCTTCACCATTACTAAATCTACATTAGCACATTTTTATCACCTTATAAGAAAACCTCATAACCATGAGCACTCCTTTCCATTTCCCCATTCAGTCCCTGACAGCTACTAACTACTTCCTGTTTCTATGCCTTTTCTAGACACAATATGATTTTCTTAAAAAAACCCACAATATCCAATACATGCCCTTATGTGATTGGCTTTTTTCACTTAACATAATGTTTTCATAGTGTACCCACGGCAAAGTATGAACACACATCTTTCTAAAGTCCCAACTACAGTCACACAAGCTAGTATTAAACTGAAAAGAAAACTGAAGGACCAAATGGTCTCCTACAATACGTAGAGAGAATTCAAATCCAGTTGTCTCCAGGGCTCACCATTTCCACGCAGCCACAGTGATACGTGGCTGCATCTTGTTCATGGACAATCTGAAAACTGCTTGAGACATGATGCTTTGTATACCCCAAAGCGAGCAAAGTCCTGCTTCCTCCTGTTTCTATGTTTACCCACAGTGAGTCTGAGCCAAGGGAGAACTTCCTCATCCCCACAACCACTGGCTCTCCACAGTGTCACTAATTTTGAAGCTGTGGGCACATCTTGAATCCTCTAGATGACTGTGGCAAACAGGAAGCACCACTCTGTGTTTCTCATAAAAGACAGTATTCTGCATCCCAGGCTAGTGTAGTTGAGAAAGAAGCTCAAATAAGAAAACAACAAACAATGAACAGAACCAGACTTTAGCTCACTGGGGAAAGGCATCAGAAAGAGCAACCACCCCACCCCTCCGGCTGCCCCACGCAGCTCAAGAGCAAAGTCACCCATAAACGCAGCAAGCGCCACATGCCAGTTCAGGTCCTATCTGCTAAGTACGTCATCAAATCCAGAAGCCACTGTTGTCATCTCCATAGTTTCCCTTCTCATGCCCAGTTACCTTCTTGCCTCCGATATATCCTCCAGAGGCTCCAAAGCTCTTGGTGAATGTCCCCATCATGACGTCCACATCCTCGGGATCCAGGCCGAAGTACTCCACCACCCCTCGGCCCGTGGGGCCCAGGGCCCCGATGCTGTGCGCCTCATCCAGGTACAAGTAAGCCTTGTACTTCTTCTTGAGAGCAATCACTTCAGGAAGGCGAACTATTGATCCCTCCATGCTGGCAAAATAGGATTAAAAAACAATACAGAATCTTTCTGATTCCCCAAATGGGGAGCTGCACACTTTATTACTGATGTTTGGAGTTTATCACTTCTTAAGTGGTCTGACAGCTCTATCTGTGTCTTAAACTAACCAACTTAGAGGAGGTCATAGCAGGCAGAAGCATGTGAAAAAGGACACTGATTCTTTTAAAACAGTGGCAGGACACAACTAATGTATAACACAAAGAATTAAGGTCACCATTATGGAAAAAATCAATGGGGGGGATGGAAAATGTGGGGGGGGGGGAAATCCCAGACTATACAGGATTGTATGATAAATTATAAGAATTACAAAAAAAATTAGGGTCACAACAGATTCTTCGAAGCCTGCAGTTATAAGCAACATTAGACTTTTCATATGCATTCATTCATGCATATGTAATTAAAATTATACAAAAGAACAAACAAAAAGGAGAATAAGTATAATGGTTTCAGAGTAATACAAATATTTCTTAAAACTAAGTGGTAATTTGTTCTTGACTATATATATAATATATACATATATAAACTTCCCTCTAAGAACATCAGAAAGGTGACAGGCACAAATAGAAGAGGATTGGAGATTGTACAGAATGATAAGAATGAACAAGAGTCAGACAAAAGACTTCTGTACCAGTGTTCACTTGTTTCCCAGGCGTTTTAACAAGTCATCAATGCGATTTCTGTAGTTTCTAGAGGGAGCTAGAATAGTGTTCTTTACAGCCTAATACTGTCTCATGCCACAGGCCCAAGTCGCAAAGGCAAGAACAACAAAGCAGAATTACCTATATATTCCTTCCACTAGGATGAGAATTTTCTTCCAGGGCCTTCGTGTCCTGGGCTGACCATAAACAATGGCATCTTTCAACAGCTTCTCCAAGCTTTGCATATCTATAGCACACACAGAAAAGAAGGGAGTCACTCACAAGGCACTGTTCTCTCTCCTAACTACCCCAGAAATACAAGTGCCATTTTTTATTCAGAAAGAGTATGAGACAGCAAAGGACAACGAGTAGCGCAGAAAGAAAAGTGGGCAAAGTAAGTGAGTGCCTGCCATCCTGAACTTAAATAAAAATTAAACAAACATTCAAAACCACTGAAACATGACTAAGTGATTGCAGTAGTTCATTCTCTTGGCATATTTATGAAATGGCCAATTTTCTACACTAAATACCTTGACATTCAGTTATATTTTGGGGTTTATAGAACCAGATTGCATCGTTAATCTTAGTGAGTCATTCAGAAATAAGCACAGAGATCAAGAATGTAAATAAACTGCTACAAATATATACCTCTTAAAAAAATGAATATGGCACATATCTGTGGATAGTGTAGTTTTATTCTATTCATTTAATTTTTGCTTAATGAAACTTGCTAAGTAGGCTTGTATGGGGACTGGGTTGAAAGTACGCCAATCTTGGGCTAGCGTTATGGTCCCAGCACTTCAGTCACTACCTGGAATGCTGACATGCCATACTGGAGAATGGTTTTGAGACTAGGCTGCACTGTTTCCAATCCAGCTCCCTTTTAATGTGCCTGGGAAAGCAGCAGAAGTAGTCCAAAAGCCCTCTGTTACCCACGTGGGACACCCAGATGAAATTCTAGGCTCCTGGCTTTGTCCTGGCCCAGCCTTGGGCATTGTGGCCCTTTGGGGAACGAACTAGCAGACAGAAGATCTCTCTCCCTCTCTGTGACTATCTCTGTTCAAATAAATTAATTTTAGAAAACAAAACAGAAACAGCTGTCGAGGCCATGCGCCTGAAGCAAGCATGACAGTAAGCTGAGATTGTTTCACATCTGACTCTGTCAGCTGTCTAGGCCTTATCAAATTCTTACGGTTTGTTCAGTCCTGACAGTAGTTAGCAGGCCTGGGAAATAATTAGGCTGATGTTATCATTACTGAGGACCATAATTCCTCTGTTAATGACAAATGTTTTGAAGCATTGCTAAATAACTGCCTTGAAATGAAAGAAAAAAACAAACTTCCTACAGCTTAAGTAGCAGTATGTTTGGAGTGTATTTAACGGGATCAAAGACACTCCATAATAAAGTCTGATTGGATATTCTTCATCAGTCATCATTGAAGGAGGTTACAAAATTACAGGATTTTGCTCTTTTCATAAAATAATTCTGACAGGAAATTGAAAGAAGTTAATAAAAACACATGATATGGGGCTGGCACAGTGGCTTCTCAGGCTAATCCTTCACTGGCCACACTGGCATCTATATGGGCATTTGTTCAAGTTCTCGTAGCTCTCCTTCCAACCCGGCTCCCTGCTTATGGGCTGGGAAAGCAGCGGAGCATGGTCCAAGTTTGTACCCCTGGATCTACGTGTGAGATCCAGAAAAAGCTCGTGGCTCCTAGCTTAAGACCAGCCCAGTTCCAGCTGTTTTGTGGCAATTTGGGAAGTGAACCAGCATATACAGAATCTCTCTAATTCTGCCTTTCCAATAAAAATAAATAAATCTTAAAAAAAAGAAACCCTACATTATAAATGCACAAACAAAATAACTAAAGTGTTAAGTGCTTACAACTTCAATGATTTGAAACACAAGAAACTGCATGCTATGTTGCAAAAACAGCGATGCTCCACAAAAGCAAACATCCCAGCCTGCTGTAGGGAGCAGGGTGCAGCTACCAGCAGCAGCAGAGTACTGTTCTTGGTGTCCTATAACAGCAGGAAAAAAAGATACAAAATTCTAGACAAAAGGAAATAACTATAACAGGATTCCTATGTTATCTACTTTTTTAAAAAAAAACATTTATTTATTTATTTATTTATTTTTATTGGAAAGGTGGATATACAGAGAGGAGAGACAGAGAGGAAGATCTTCCGTCCGATGATTTACTCCCCAAGTGAGCACAATGGCCAATACTATGCTGATTCGAAGCCAGGAGCCTCTTCTGGGTCTCCCAAGTGGGTGCAGGGTCCCAAAGCTTTGGGCCATCCTGGACTGCTTTCCCAGGCCACAGGCAGGGAGCTGGATGGGAAGCGGGGCTGCCGGGATAGAACCAGTGCCCATATGGGATCCCGGGCGTGCAAGGCGAGGACCTTTAACCACTGCGCCACTGTGCCGGGCCCCTATGTTATCTACTTTAAAAATTCAATGTTTCCCATATTATAAATTAAAACCCTAAATTTCATATGAAATTTAAAATATTGCATAAAACTCACAGAATATAAGAGAATAATTTTGTAATCATACTAGGTTGGCCTTCCACAATCAATAAAGAACAGAAACAGTTTGCAAATGGCCAATTTATAACATAAGACCTAAAAATGTAATAGCTACATAAAAAGCTGTTCCAAACCTAATAAAGAAATTAAAAGATAATGATAATATTTACCTATTACATTCAGAAAGATTTTAAAGGATTTACAATAGCTAATGTTGTCCAGTGAACAGAAATAGTGACTGTCATGCTGAATAAAAATTAGTGCAACATTTACAGGCAATTTTGCAAAGTATTAAAAAAGACCACTAAAAATTAATCAAATGATTGTTTAAAAAAAGAAAAGAAAAAAGTCAGCATAATGCTGCTCCTGACAGGAAAATCTGGAAACAACTTTGGTGTCTGAACTGAGGGTTAAGTTACACAGCATGCATGTTCAGATCAAAGACCCTGGTTTATTCATCTCAATAAACCTAGTGTTAATCCAAGAAGGCACTGCAGGCATCTAGTAAGTACATTTGAATACAACAGTCAAAAACAACAAAAAAGGATGAAAAACTTGAAAAGTCCTGAAAAGCAGAAGACTATATTTTATATAAAAAGCTTCCTTCTACCTGTGTTTTCACTCCAAAAATGAAAAGAGTAACTTGTAAAAGGCTGGACCACAAGAACATTTAAGTGTTGCCACTTCAGCTCCAGGTGTATTCTTAAGCATCAATGTAACCAGTGTTACCACTCCCAGAGTGTTAAAGCACAGTTAGCAGTGAGTTCCACCACAAACTCACTGTTGTGTTTGAAGATCCGAATGGTTGCTCCGGACAGTCTGGCTCCGAGAACCAGCGATGCATGGTTCAGCTCATCACTCAGAATCAGGCAACCCTGCAGTTATAAGCACAAGAACGTGAACGGTCAGGGGAAGGTTTAGTTATAGAAAACACAAAATGTGAGCATCGCTAATAACTACAGACTAGCAGCAAGATCCTGCATGACAGCAAAGACATCGATTTTTTTAAAAAGTGTACATGACAATTTTAAAAAATGATTTATCTGAAAGGCAGAGTCACACAGAGGGACAGACAGAAAAGGTAACCCACTCATTAGTATACTCCCCAAATAGCTGAAGCCAGGAGCCAGGCACTCCATCTTGGTCTCCTACAAAGCACAGGGTCCCAAGTGCTTGGGTCATTCTCCACTGCTTTTGCAAGCATAGTAGCTAGGAACAGGAATGGAACTTGCTGCACCACAACACTGTCCCAATTTTATTTTTTAGGACATCTTACCAATAGATAAAAAAATATATATACCCTTTTACTTTAATGTCTTCAGTCCTATCTCTGACTGAAATATTCAGATATATAGCAGGTTTTTATTTATATCTAAAATCTCACATATCAAATAGTCTTTAATAATGATTTCCATGGTTTAAGGGCCTTCCAATGAATTTTGGTGTGACACACTGCCTAGTGTGGCAGTGGCAGCATAGAGGGTCAAGCCTCTGCAAACAGCATTGTGTCTTTCCTACCAACTACACAGAGTCCAGGCAGGACTACTTACTAACCTTCTCCTCAAGTTACAGAATTGGAAGCCTTAGCATTTCCCTGAAATTTTCTGAATAAGCTTTTACTTCAACAAACATTGGTTTCTGCTGAAGCAGTCAGAAAAGCTAAAGTATACCTCTTATTAAGAAGATTCAAAAAAAGACACCAAGCTAAAATGTGTACATTTACAATGAAACAAGGCAGAGTTGAAGATATCAACGTGGAATCCTAGTTTTTAACATTTACATCCTTGAGGGGAGTCTTCAAAACATTCTTCAAAATGTTCATGAAAAATGTATACTATCTTTTCAAAAATTTTAAATATTACTTTGCTTTTATTTGAAAGGCAGAGAGACCAAGATCGTCCCTTTCCTGGTTCATTTTCCCAAAGCCCCCGCCAGGGGCTGCAGAAGGCCGAGGCTAAGCAGGGAGCTAAGCCAAGGCTCCCTCACGGTGGCAGGCATCCGAGGCCCTGCGCCATGCTCTGCTGTGGCCAGGATGGAAGAACAGCCAGGACTCAAGCCAGGCACTCTGCTGTAGGTATCCCAAGCACAGACTTAATCATTGGACCAAATTTTCTTCCATTATCTTCTAATCCACTTTCTTTAAAAAATATATTGATTTATTTGCAGAGTTCCAGAGAGAAGGGATGAGACAGAGAGAAATCTTGCATCAACTGGTTTCTCCCACAATAACCAGGGCTGGGTTAGGCTGAAGCCAAGAGCTTCTTCTGAGTCCCCACACAGGGGCAGCAAGGAGCCCAAGGACTTGGGCTCTCTTTCACTGTTTTTTTTTTTTTTTAAATATTCATTTATTCTTATTGGAAAGGCAGATATACAGAGAGGAGAGACAGAGAGGAAGATCTTCCGTCCGATGATTCACTCCCCAAGTGAGCGCAACTGCAACAGCTGAAGCTGAGCAGATCTAAAGCCAGAAGCCAGGAGCTTCCTTCCTGGTCTCCCATGTGGGTACAAGGTTCAAAGGCTTTGAGCTGTCTTTGACTGCCTTCCCAGGCCACAGGCAGGGAGCTGGATAGGAAGCGAGGCTGTCGGGATTAGAACCAGCATCCACATGCGATCCTGGTGTGTGCAAGGCAAGGACTTTAGATAACTAGGCTACCGTGGTGGGCCCTCATTCATTGCTTTTTCCAGCACATTAGGAGAGAGTTTAATGAGAATCATGGCAGCTAGCCCTCCAATATGCTAGCATTGCAGGCAGCAGCTTAGGAAGCTACACTACAATACTAACCGCCACAAATTTTTGAAAGTACTATCATATATGCATGTATGTATACACAGAGACATACACACAGACACGTGTGTATGCATGAATTAATACACACTCAGTGGGATGAGAAATGATACATTTGCAAAAATAATATATTTAGGCCTGAGAACTTGATTTCTAAACACCATTCTCTTAAAAAAAAACAAAAAAAAAACAAGCAAGGCTGCTTGGATAACTGATTCCTAAGCTGCAATAGGGAAAAATAAAAGATAAGCCTAGGGCCCTGGCGCGGTGGCACGCCCGGGATCCCATATGGGCGCCGGTTCTATCCCGGCAGCCCCGCTTCCCTTCCAGCTCCCTGCCTGTGGCCCGGGAAAGCAGTCGAGGACGGCCCAAGGATTTGGGACCCTGCACCCACATGGGAGACCCAGAAGAGGCTCCTGGCTTCAGATTGGCATAGCATCAGCCGTTGCGCTCACTTGGGGAGTGAATCATCGGACGGAAGATCTTCCTCTCTGTCTCTCCTCTCTGTATATCCGCCTTTCCAATAAAAAAAAAAAAAGAAATCTTAAAAAAAAAAAAGATAAGCCTAATGCATGCTATCGTACAAAAAAGTGTGAAAGCACTATTTAAAAAGGAACCGCAGTGGATATTACGGTTAAGCCATCACCCGAGGATGGCCCAAGGACTTAGGCCACTCTCTGCTGTTTCCTCAGGCCACAAGCGGGGAGCGGGATCAAAGTGGAGCATCCAGGACTAGAAACTGGCACCCATATGGATGCTGGCAGCATAGGAGATCAACCTGCTATATCACTAACCATCCTCACTCCCCATAATTCTTTTGCTCTGTCACTCTGTCTTTTAAATAAATAAACTTTTCAAAAGATAACTGTATTTTCAATGACATAGAACCCTACCTAAGTGACCTCCCTGGACAAAACTAAAACAATAGAAAGTAACCATGTTGAGTAATAACTCTAAAAACAAGAATCACCAATTCATACTGGTAAGAAGCAACAATGCTTCTGTACACAAAAATTCCAAGTACTGTTGTACTGAAAGAATGAGAAAAATAACCACTAGAATAGCAACCTCCTAACTACCACAGGTGAGATCCACAGATGCATGCTAGAGAGTGAATCAACATTTAGGCACTCAATTTTTATAGTTCTCTGCAATAATATCTGATAATTACACAGCAAAGTTTCTGGTGGGAAATCCTAACTGAAATATTAGCTGAGTCATCACGACTCACATCACTGGTAACATGCCCCACGACCATGTACCTGCTGACAGGATACAGTGAGACTGGCAGCACGTCTGTGGCATTCTTCTCAATCAATCACGGCAAACAAGGCAGACAAACTTGACCTTAGAGACATTCTACAAACTAAGGGATCACTACTAGCAATCTGAACATTGTTTTGGAAATCCTTAAGAGGATTTCTCTTCTCCAAGTCCACCTTAAAATGATTCTCCCTCTCTTTCCTTCCGCATACAACTTCATTTTTTTCTTATTTTTCTGGACAAATCTAACAATTTATTCTTTTTCGTTTATCCATTCTTCCTGATATTATTCACCATTTCTGTTATCAGCAGGGGCGGTCTTCTCCCCCTCTTTCTAGTCTACTATAAGGCTCTATTATATCCTTTGTTCAAAAATAAGATAAATGCTGAATATCAGCAGTTGACAGCAAACTGCTTCTGTGCTGCTGGCATGGTGCTCGAGGGCTTCACTGCATGCCTCCCTACCACGGTCATCCCCACCTTGCCTAAGAGAAAGCCATCACTCAGGAGGTTGAAACCTTGCTCACGATCACAAGTGAGTGACTCACTGCAAAGCCTAACCTGCTCTTCATCAACATACTGCCTTGCCGCGTGTTTAACATCCAGACCTGCTTCACACAGATGTACAGCATCGGGCTCAAAAAGAGATGAAAGTCACATTACTCTTTGTCTTTAACAAAGTGACAACATACCAACTTCTTCAAAGGTAGTACTGGGCATGTCTACAGAAAACAGTGAAGCAGAAAAAAAATCTGCTTCTAGATAGCGATTTGTTAGTATTCATGAGTTGATAGGGAGAAGCTAGATGGAATTATTTAGTCCTCTCGGGTAAAAAATTCTAAGAAATTTCAAGTAAGAATTTCAGGTAAATACTGCTACGATGCAGGATAGCAATTTATTATAGCCAATGTGTGAAGGCAAAGAACCACACGTTCACATCTTCCCAAGAATTTGTCCACCTGACGCCGTTGCTAAACTTACTAATACAAAGTTGTTCTTAACATCCCTTTGGAAATCTTTCGATCTCCACAGTATGTATAGTGATGTCTTGTCTCATTTAGGATACTAATAATTTTCTACCTTTTTAAAATGCTGATCAGTATGACTACAGATGGATCAATTTCAAAGAATCAGCTTTGACCGCGATGATTTCCTCTAACATCTATATTTTTAATTTCCTTATATTTCTGGATTTATCCTTACTATATAATTCCTACTCCTTAATTTGGGTCTAATTGACTCTTAACAATTTTTTAGAGTAGAAGCTTTGCTTTCCTATTGTACTTCTTTAATGTTATCCATTTCCATCTGAACACTTAGATTTTCAGCCTACAAACTGTGATATGCTATATTTTCATTTCCTTTCCAGTATTTCCTACTGTCCCTTGTTCCTGTATTTCTTCTCTGCCCCATAGTGATCTAGAAACATGTGGTTTAATTTTCAAATACTCAAAGATTGCCAGATATTCTTTTCTTGTTAAAAAAAAGATTTATTTATTTTTATTGGAAAGATAGATATACAGAAAGGGGGAGAGACCTCTCCCCAAGTGGCCATAACAGCCAGAGCTGCGCCAATCTGAATCCAGAAGCCAGGAGCCTCTTCCAAGGTCTCCCACATGTGTGCAGGGTCCCAAGGCTCTGAGTTGTCCTCGACTGCTTTCCCATGCCGCAAGCAGGGAGTTGGACGGGAAGCGGACCTGCCGGAATTACAACCAGCACTCACATGGGATCCCAGCGTGTGCACAGCAAGGACTTTGGATCACTAGGCTACTGTGCCATACCACAGACGTTCTTATATTACTGATCTGAACATACTTTGAAAATTTTTAATACTTTTAAATTTATTAAAACTTATTTAAGGTCTAGAATACGAGTTTAGTAATTATTTTGCTGTTATAAAAGAAATGTTTCATTAATGTCAATGAACTGATTCAATGTTTTCCTACCATTCTATAATCTTAGTGATTCTCTGCAATTATTTTTTTTAAGATTTATTTTATTTTATTTTTATTGCAAGTCAGATATACAGAGAGGAAGAAAGATCTTGTATCTGATGATTCACTCCCCAAGCAGCCACAACAGCTGGAGCTGAGCAGATCCAAAGGCAGGAGCCAGGAGCCAGGAGCCTCTTCCAGGTCTCCCAGGTGGGTGCAGGGTCCCAAGGCTTTGGGCCGTCCTTGACTGCTTTCCCAGGCCACAAGCAGGAAGCTGGATGAGAAGCAGGGCTGCCGGGATTAAAACTGGAGCCCAAATGGGATCCCGGTGCATTCAAGGTGAGGACTTTAGCTGCTAGGCTACCTTGCTGAGCCCATCTCCAATTATTTTAAAACATAATTATGCGTTTATTTGAAAAGCAGAGTTACAGAGAGAGGGAGAAACAAAACAAGAGAGATCTTCCATTTACTGGTTCATTTGCCAAACAGCATTAGTACCCAGACCAAAGGCAAGAATCTGGAACTTTATCTGGATATCCCATTAGCAGAGAATTAGATCAGAAGTGGAATAGCTGAGACTTGAACCAGTGCCTAGATGGGATACTGGCATTGCAAGTGGTGGTTAGCCCACTGAGCCACAATACCAGCCCCAGTGATACCTCTAAGTGCAATTCTGTACATGTCCACTTCTTTTAGTTTCATCAGATTTTGCTTCAAGTACTTTGAAGCTTTTAGGTTTCCAGACTACAGCATGTCCTCCTGAAGAGTTAATTCCTTCACCACTGGAACTCCTTCACCATTGGAGAATATTCTTTATCCCCAGAAATATTTCATGCTCTGAAATCTTTATATTGATATCTTCTTTTCAGATTTCTCATTATTTGTATGTTATCCCTTTTTCATGCTCTTGATCTCTGTGCCTTCATATTTTTAAAATAGGTTCCTATTCTAATTGGAAAATCTACTTACATTTTATTTAATTTGACAATCTCTACCTTATAATTAACTGTATACATTATTCAAGCTTAATGTGATATTAATATAAATGGTTTTCAATTCCTCCCTTGCTATTTGTTCTCTATCTGTTCCATTATATATTTGTATAACTGAAAAAGACTTTGGAGTTAACCTAGTGAAACCAGCTCGTGATACAAAGGAAACTCTGAGGATCAGAAAAGTTCTTTCACATACTCAGTGTGAGCCATAACATTAACCAACAAGCAACTGCATCTCCTGTTAATCCACTGTTCTTTCAACATACCATTCCTGGATGTCACTGTTAGAACAAAAGTCTCAAGAGTTTTTTTTCCAAATTGATGGCCAATATGATAGAATGTAATTTTCAAAGTCTTTTATCAGTTCTTTTTCCTCCCCTACAAGCTCTACCCACAGGATGGATGTATTTTGTGCGACTGTGTGTGTAAAATTTGCCTATACACAAAATTATTAGTGAAAGTATAAAATACAAAAGTATTTATACTTTTATGTGAAATTTTATATTTAAGAAAAATTATCTATTAAATAGCTTTCCAAACTGAACACTTTTTCCCCCATAATTCTAGTCTTTTAGGTTTTATTTACCAGAATCCATTCAAAATGCTATATAAAACAAAGTCAAGAGCCATCTAACTGATATAAGGCTTCATGGGAAATACTTACCCAAACATTTCTGACAGGTATTTCTCTGGATAAAGTACATTTAGTATAAAATTTATAATAGTTTGGCCTTGCTCGGGTGCTCTTCAAAACCAAAGAATTACATGAGAGAATTTTCATAAATGATTGTCTTACTTTGCCAACAAGAGCAGGAATGTTCATTGAATTTGTTGCAAATCCCATGCCATATGCCATAGCAGCTTCTACTCCCAAGAATCTTGCTACAAGTTTCTCTAGTTCTTCATGTTTGTCCAGGTTTCCTGTGTGATGTTAACAAAATCAGTATCATGAAAGTCTAAATGTAAGAATTACTTATCCTTTACAAAAAAGAAGTCATGATCTGTATGGTGGGACCTTTAGCAAACTCTCCCAAAACTCAGAATCACAAGCAAATGTCTGTTACTTTAAATCGCTGAACTGCTGTCTGTTACGCAGCCACAGACAGCTGAGATAGTGCTCTCAGGGTGAGCGCTGCGGTGCGGCAGTTAAGCAGCAGATCGCATCGTTCACAGCCTGCTTCGGAGTGCTAGTGAAGGACCTGGCTGCTCCACTTCCCATGCAGCTTCCTGCTAAAGCACCTGGAAACACAGATGATGACGGCCCAAGACCCTGGATTCCTGTCACCAAGGTGGATGGGAATCCTGGCTCCTGACTTCATCCCAGCCCACTACCAGCTGTTGCTTGCATATGGTGAGTTGATCAACATAGAGAACGTATCGCTCAGCCCCTCTCAGCCCACTCACCTTGCTCCTTTTCAAACAAATCTTTTTTTTAAATTGTTATTAACATTGTATTATGTGATACAGTTTTATAGGCACTGGGGATTCCCCCCACCCCTCCCACAACCCTCCCCCCATAGTGGATTCCTCCACCTTGCTGCATAACCTCAGTTCAAGTTCAGTTGAGATTTCTTCATTGCAAGCATATACCTAGCATAAAGTCCAGCATCTTATTGTCCAGATAAGTTCAGTGGCCTCTTGGGTCAAACAAATCTTTTAAAGGAAAAAAAAAAGTACTTTCCTTTACTTTGCTCTTCCTTGTCAATTTGTATTATACTTTTACAATGAGAAATCTTTTCAAATCCTTAAGGAAAAAATGACATTGTACAAAAAAGAGACATTGAGAAAGATGATGACTGAACTTCAATGCTATGTGTCCTGACAGCTTAGTCAAATCCCTAATAGCCTCTCTGGGCTTTTATCATCGCTGAATTTTCTCTTTAAAGGGCTGAGGCTGAGTCAGAGCAAGGTCAGGAGCCATAAACTCTATCTGAGAATCCCATGCACATGACAAAGACCAAACTACTCGAGCCATCACAGGCTGCCTCCCAGGGTGTGCAACAGCATAAAGCTGGAACAGAGAACAGAGCCAGGACTTGAACTCAGGTAACTTGATATGGGATGCATGTATCCCAACTGGTCTCTTCACCACTGTATCAAACTCCTTACTTGGAAAACTTTAATCATTATGCCTACATAACTCATGACATTTTTAGGATCAGAAGAGATACTATGTTCAACCATCTAATATAACACAGAGTGCCTTAAAGATGTAAGGTATGGTCACTGAATGTGATCACTACACGGTGCCCTGTCAATCATTTATTTAGATGACAAGATCTGTGTCAGGGACTAGCACTGAGGTGCAGGAGGGTGAACCACCACTCAGAGCAACACCTCATATCCTGAACGTGGGTTCTAACTCCCTACTTCTCCCGTCCGTTCCAATATTAATGTGCCTGGGAAAACAGCACATATCCCAAAGTCTGGGGCCACTTCCGTCCACATGGGAGACCAGAATGAAATTGTGAGCTCTTGGCTTTGGCTGGGCTCAGCCCTGCCTGCTGCGGCCATCTGGGGAGTGAGCTAGCCAATAGGGAACTGTTCTCTCTCTGTGTCTCTCCCTCTCTCTAAATATTACAAAAGAAAAAAAAAAAAAAAAAGCCCCTAACTTCTGAAGTCTCTACTACTGTTTCAAATATGGGAGTGACTAAAATGTTTTGTTCTTATTTCCCTTTTGGAAATTATCATAAAACTGGAAAAACAAGAAATAAAGACACAAAATTTAATATATATATATATTTCTTTTTATTGAAAAGATTTATTAATTTTTTTTAATTGGAAAGGTGGATATACAGAGAGGAGGAGAGACAAGAGAGGAAGATCTTCTGTCCGATGGTTCACTCCCCAAGTGAGCGCAATGGCTGGAGCTGAGCCAATCCGAAGCCAGGAGCCAGGAACTTTTCTGGGTCTCCCAGGTGGGTGCAGGGTCCCAAAGCCTTGGGCCATCCTCAACTGCTTTCCCAGGCCACAAGCAGGGAGTTGCATGGGAACCAGGGCTGCCAGGATTAGAACCGGTGCCCATATGGGATCCCGGCGCGTGCAAGGTGAGGACTTTAACCACTAAGCTATCATGCTGGGCCCCAGAACTTAATATATTTTTATTACCTAGCAGATATCAGTTAATCCTTAATAGAATTAATGAAAATGGAAAATTCATCAATAAGATGCCATGGTTTGAACTGCATTCCACCAAAAAAAGACACCCCTCCCCATCACCCTAGGCTGTGTCTCTCTTTAGAAACAGGGCTGTGAGGGAGGAGGCAATTAGACAAACATGAAGCCATTCAGTAGTGCAGGTGTCCTTAGGAAAGGGGGAGATCTGGATGTAAAAACGAGAAAATAGAGGGAGCAGAACAAAGTTGGACTAACAGGAAGAGAGCCACATGACAGGACTGGCACCTAAAAGCCATGGGAAGCCAAGAACGGCTAGCAAACTCCAGAAGCGAGGAAGGATTTTCTAGGCCCATCACAGACAGTTTGGGCCACTGGTATCCTGGACCCCATCCTGCTCATCTCACGGATTTTTCCTGCTTAAGTCACCCAGTTTCTGGTATTTGGTTACTGCAATCTTGAGAAGCTAATACAGATGGTAAATGACTGAGTTAGAAAAGCTGAGGCAACAGTCATCAGAGTAGGCAAGGGTTGAGGTTGGAATACAAACAAAATGACTGAAACATACCAGAAATAGACATGAATCCTCCTACATTACTAATGGAATTATAAAATGGTATGGCTACTATAGTGTTTGGAATTGTTTAGCAATTTTTCAGAAAGTTAGTTTATGACCTAGCAATTCTACTCCAAGTATATACTCAAAAAAAAAGTGAAAACATACATAAGAACTTGCATACCCGTGTTCACAGTCTAACTGTCCTCAATGGCCTTCATAAGACAGAAACAATTCAAATGTCCATTAATGCAAGATGCATAAACAATGTGCGGTTAACTTATTCAGCCGTGAAAAAGAACGGAGGTAGTGAAGAGCAGCTTCCCACCCTCTTCCCTTAGGACACAGCAAAAAAGCAAAATAAAACAAAACAAACCCAAAAAACCCTGAACCATTTGTTCTACCCACCTTGCTTAGTACCTGAACCTCCTATCCTAATTAGAGGCCCACATGGCTGTGCATCTGCCTACTCCTCAATGACTGCACCTGGATGGCCAAGAGCCCAGAACTCCAGCCAGGTTTGCCATAATTAGCGTTATCATCTGCTGCCTTCCCAGGCATATTAGCAGGAAGCTGGACTGGAAGCAGAGCAGCTGGGTCTGGAAACAGCTCTTCAACATAGATGCAAGTCTAATAAGTGCTAACTTCACATACAGTGCCTCAATGTCAGCCCAACATGGATCCATAACATGGATATCCAGAATTTCAATGAAACAATTTAGTCCCTACATTACTACGAAAGTTCTGGAGAGTGAGCTTTAGCAATACAAGCAGAATATGTTAACAAAAGAGAATGAAGGTAGGTGCTGTGGCAAGGTGAGTTAAGTCGCTGTTGCAATGCCTGCATCCCGAATCAGACTGCCTGGGATCAAGCGCTGCCTCTGCTTCTGATCAAGGGTCCTGTTGATGTGCACTCTGGAAGGCAACAGATGATGGCCCAAGGATGCGGGTCCCTCCCGACGGTGTGAGAGACACGGATGGGGCTCCTGGCTCTGGCTGGTCCAGACATAGCTGCTATGGGCTTTTGGACAGTGGGTCATTCAGGCTGTTCAACTGAATCAAAATTAAATGTATCTTTTTCAAAAGAAGAACATGGCATTAAAAAAAGAAGAAGAAGAAAGAAAGAAACGAAAAAGCAAACTATGAGAGATAGGAAATAAAAAAAAAGCAGAGAAGGGATGGGCCTGGCATGAGACTCCGTGGCTAAATCCTTGCCTTACAAGCACTGGGATTCACATGGGCTCTGGTTCCTGGCTTTGGATCAGCTTAGCCCCAGCCATTGCAGCCAGCTGGGGAGTGCACTAGCAGATGGAAGAACTTTCTCACAGTCTCTCCTCTCTATAATTCTACTTGCCTTTCCAATAAAAATAAATAACTGTTTTTGCAGATTTATTTATTTTTATTGGAAAGGCAGATATACAAAGAGTAGGAGTGGCAGAGAGGAACATCTCCCATTTGATGATTCACCCCTCTAGTGGGCTCATCAGCTGTAGCTGCGCCAATCCAGGAGCCAGGAGCTTCTGCCAGCTTCCTTTGCCAGTGCAGGGTCCGAAGACTTTAGGCCGTCTTCGACTGCTTTCCCAGGCCACAGGCAGGGAGCTGGATGGGAAGTGGAACGAGCAGGACACAAACCAACACCCATACAGGAACCTGACGCATGCAAGGCAAGAGCTATAGCCACTAGGCTACCGCGCCAGGCCTCCCAAACAATAAATCTTTTTTTAAAAAAGTGCCTGGCACGGTAGCCTAGTGGCTATAATTCTTGCCTTACATCTTCCGGGATCCCATATGGGTGCTGGTTCCAATCCCGGCGGCCCTGCTTCCCATCCAGCTCCCTGCTGTGGCCTGACAGAGCAGTTGAGGACAGCCCAAAGCCTTAGGACCCTGCATCAATGTGGGAGACCTAGAATAGGCTGTCTTAGGATTTGTGTGGGTCTGGCCATTGCGGCCACTTGGGGAGTAAATTCAATGGAAGATCTTTCTGTCTGTATATGACTTTCCAGCAAAAATAAATGTTAAATAACAATAATAATAAATGAAGAGAGAGAGAGAGATAGAAGGGAAGGGAAATTCCTAATCTTATCATTTCATTCCTGGTTAAAAACAAAAACAAAACAGTACCAGAATTTAGTGTATACTGTATTCCTGGAGAATACCAGTCCAAACTGAAGCAGAAGACAGGATAAAATTATACTTAGAAAGGTTCTAACAGTACCCAGAAGTTCACATTAAATAAAATATTTATTGAGCCCAGTGCAGTAGCCTAGCAGCCTAAGTCATTGCCTCGTACGTGCCAGGATCCCATATGTACTCTGGTTCTAATCCCCAGCTCTCTGCTTGTGGCCTGGGAAAGCAGACGATCCAAAGCTCTGGGACTCTGCACTGGTGTGGCAGGCAGGGGAAAAGGTTCTGGTTCCTGGCTTCGGATTGGCTCAGCTCCAGCCGTTGCAGCCACCTGGGGAGTGAATCATCAGATGGAATATGTTCTACTCTGTCTCTCCTCTCTGTATATATGACTTTGCAATAAAAATAAATAAATCTTTAAAAAGAAAAAAAAAGAATATTCTGTCCTGTAAAAAAATTAAATCCTAAAAAAAAAAAAAATCTTATGGCTCCTCATCTTAAGAGTTACTTAACAGACTATAGAGGAATTTAAAATAGGACAAGTTTCCAACCACGGTCCCAAGAGCACTAAATTGATATTGGAGGGGTAGAAACCACAATGCAGCTGTAAGATATGCTTTAGGTAACTGAAAACACTAGCCCATGTCTTATTTACTGAGTTATTCTAGGTCTAAACTTGACTTTTGGATCAAAAACTTGGCATAATATATGTACCTATGCAAGCTTTACTAATGGAGCCAAAATATTTACTTTCAATATTAAAAAAAATATTAAAACACAAGTCAGATTGCTCTGGTTATCACAAAATGCTTAGGACTTTGTGGTAGCTAAGAAAATACATACATTTGTATGTATTGTTGTGGTATATCAGGTGGAGATCCAATGTAACAACAGTTAGATCATCTATCTGCTGATGCAATGCCCAGATGCTTACAGAAGTCAGGGCCACACCAGGTCACAGACAGGAGCCAGGGAGCCCAGGGCTACACCAGGCCAGACAGGTCATGGACGGGAGCCAGGCATCCCAGCAGCAGACTAGTCCAGTCTGTCCCACATCCCATGCGGCTCTCATACATGTCAATGGGTATTAAAGCCTAGTTCCATCTAACCAGCTCAACTATTCAATCCACACAGATGTTGTTGGGTGCCTCTCTGTCTAGCCATCCCAGTCCCATCACCTACTGGAGAGCTGGTTCTAGTCCTGGCTACTCCATTTCCCATCCAGATCCCTGCTAACGTTCCTGAGAAGGAGGAGAGGATGGCCCAAGCACATGAATTTCTGACGCCATGTGGGCGCCCTGGCTCCTGGTTTCAGCCTGGTCCAGCCCTGGCTGGTGCCGCCAACTGAGGAGTGAACCAGATCAATCCTTCTGTCACTTTGCATTTCAAATAAACAAATCTTAAAAAAAAAAAAACTGTTATTTCTTCACACACATATAGCTGTCACTTGCAAAACCCTATCACTCCCATTTGTAAAACCCAATCAAGTCATTAAAGTTGCAAATGAAACAGCAATGGAAATTTTCTAAGGATACTCAAGACGTGCTGAAAGAATGAGAATTACCCATCACTTCAGAGAAAGGAAACATTCTTTACTTTGTCTAAAACTACATGATAGAAGAAAAAAAAAACACATACATGATAAACTAGGTGTTTGGATATTTAATAGACTAGCTCCATATTGGTATTACTCACTCCTAAATTAAAAAGTCACAAAGCGCAGCTGGCCACACACAGCTTCCACTCACCAATCTCCTGCCGAGTGCTGCACACGCCGACTCCGTACTCCTCTAGGGTTTTGGCAGCTGCTTCTGGACATGAGCCAGTATTCTGGGCAAATCCAAGATAGTTGTAGGAACCCATGTTTATAACACCTTTGATTATATTCCCTGTATACCTGTGACCCAAAAGCATAAACTAATGAAACTCACAAGCAATCATATATTTAAACGTGACAGCAAATGCACTGGTAACACAAATGCAGGAACTAGTGAGAACACAGTCTACATGCAAAGGAATTCAAACTCATATCAACTAGGGATTTAGAAGTTAAATACCAGTTTTCTTCTAACATTGATAAAAATCTAAACACTGATGATTTTTTAGTGTTAGTCACTAAACAGTACTTTTTTAGGATCCTTTCCCAGCTATGGCACCTTTTGCCACATTCCTTCCCTGGGCAGGGGGACTATTGATATCCACCACCTGGCCCTCCAGGCATGAAGTGTGGACTTGAAATAAACTGCTGCTGCTTAACACGTGATGACAGCCCAACCCACTGTCCCTTGCTGTTATCTCTATTACAGATCACAATGAAATCAAACAATAAACCTGCTATGACATGACACACGTGACACAAATGTTCCCAAGTAACTAGAGCAAGAGTCACTTACACACATACAGATGATCCCATTTTCATAAATTAAAAACCTATGTGTTACGGGAGGTGAACCAGTGGATCAAACATCTTTGTCCTACATTATTCAGTCTTTCCAACAAATAAACACATATATTTAAAAACAGAAACAAATTCCTAGCATTACTCACTTGAAAGACCAGTTATAATCATGAGACTGCCTCTCCATGATGTCCACCTTGGCTCCAGGCACACTGCAGATTGGCCGATTCCAGTTGTCCCTTATCCTCATGTAGAGATTCCTTGTGTAGAAGTTTTCAAAATCCTGATACAATGACACAAAGTCCTGCCAACAAACAGAATTGCTTTATGAACAAATTTGACCATCTCCCGTTTTATGTTTTAAGAACACCTGCCACTGACAGGTCATTTGTATGCAATTAAGTGATACATCAAGAAAACATTGGGAAAGGCATCAATTTTTTTTATGCCTAACACAACTCTTTATAACTAAGTAAAAGTCACTTAGCTTCATCACTTTACCTGGATTACAGAGCTTCACATTACTGCATAAATGTAGAACAAATTTAATTCAGTAAAGTAAATCCTACACAAATAAAATTTAGGGGTCAGAGTTGTGGTAGAGTGGGTCAGCTGCTGCCTGGGATATCCACATTCCGTATCACGATACCCTGCTCAAGTTCCAGGTACCCTACACTTCCACTCCGGTTTCCTGCTAACCCGTGTGGGACCTGGAGGAACCATGATACCCAGCTCAAGTTTCAGGTACCCTACACTTCCACTCTGGCTAATGTACGTGGGACCTGGAGGAACCTCCTGGCTCCTGAGCCAGCAGCTGAAAGATTTCTCTCTCTTCCTCTGTCTTCTCTGAAACTCTGCCTTTCATATAAAAAATAAAATTTTAAGAAAGAAAAAAAAAAGCTAAAAGGTAGGTTTATAAGATGCTATCCTTTTTGCTTTTCCTGCTTAGAAGTTGTAAAAACAAATCTCAAAAACACATTCCCATGGAATTTAAAACCTTCCTATTCCCCCTGAGATTGAATTATACTAAAATCCTTAAGTTAAAAAAAAATTTTTTTTAAAGTCACAGTGCAGGTGATAAGAATGCACTAAATCTGTGGCCAGTGAGGCATGGTCACTGCTCAGAAGACATGTGACCAGACCACGATACCCACTTCAAGTCTTGAACATAAAAGGTAAACCAAACAAAAACAGAACTACAATTCTACTCTATCCAGCAAACCACAAAGCTACTTTTCACATCTCAATCTGGTGTTAACCTAAATTAACTAATTTTTTTAAAACTTGAGTTGTAATCTGCAAAACACTTTTATTCCTAAAGGAGACTTTACATGATACTCAAAAATTATGACCTTCTAAGACACTGGATTTTATAGTGTTGCTAGTTAAGTCTCACAGTAAATACAGTCCTTCTTAAAGCTGGGCAGTTATTAAATACTCTCAACATTTGTAGGAAGTGATGGCATCTCAATCACAATTGGTTCTAATATTTACTCTTCCTTCTGACAGGAAAGATTCATAAGTAATATATCTATTAAAATGAAATGTAACAGTTTTTTTTCTATTTTTATAAAGATTTATTTATTATTTTTATTTGAAAAGCAAAATTAGAGAGAGAAGGGGGAGAAGCAGATCTTCCATCTGTTGGTTCAATCCCAAATGGCTGCAAAGGCCAAAGCTAAACTGATCTAAGGCCGGGAGCTTCCTCTGGGTTTCCCACGTGGGTGCAGAAGCCCAAGAACTTGAACCATCCTCTGCTGCTGTCCCAGGTGCGTTAGCAGAGAGCTAGATGGGAAGTGAAGCAGCCAGGTCTTGAACCAGAGCCCATGTTGGATGTCAGCACTGCAGATGCTTAATAACTTATTATACCACAGCCCTGGAAACTTATCATTTAAATCATATAATCTTTTTGACAACCTCCTCTTCCAAAGTGACTACTGGTTGAAGGAAAATAGGAAAAGATACCTAAATTGTAAAGACTTTTCTGGCTGTAATTCACTACCTATTTATTTCCTAAAGGAAAAAACAGATAAGTAGTTCCAAACCCCTTTTTCTTCCTTTTCTTCCTTTTTAAAGATGTATTTACGGGCCCGGCACAATAAATCTTCCTCTCTGCCTCTCCTCCTTTCTGTATATCTGTCTTTCCAATAAAAATAATAAATAAATCTTTAAAAAGTGTGTTCAATGCAAGCTTCCTAGAGAAAGTCCTATATTATTTAAAATAAACAGGTACCACCTTAGACTACAGTGCCTATGCAGGTCTAAAGAGCACAGCAGGAAAGGCTGGTTGGTCCCATCCACTTTCGGAAGTTGATTTTCAACCACTGTCTACAGTTATTAAATGCAATTCTGGTCCAACAGACATCCAAATACTTTTATATGTTAATTATACAGATGATGAGTCATCGTATCAGCAGCAGCGGAAGTTCCCATCTATTGAGAATGATAAGCCAGGCACCTGCAGAGTGCTTTATATATACATACATACTTACATCCTTAAATCTGCACCCTCTAGCAAGAAACACTATTCCTTTCATTTTCAGACAGGTTTGACACCTTTTCCAGTTAGGTCACCAGCCAGAGGCAAGGCCAGAACTAATTTAGTTCTCATAACTACACTACTGATCACATCACATCAGAATTACTTCCCGAGGGGAGAGCACATGACCAGCAAGGAAGATGTGCAAGCGATTGGGTTTCTGTCACACTCAGGGAGAGACTGGACCCAAGTCCCTGCTCCCAGGTCTGGCCTCACGTCACTGTGGGTATCTGAGGAATGAACAGCATACTGATCTCTCTCCCTGGGTGTGGGAGACATCACTTTTTTGGGTGCCATTGTAGGAAGGTACCTCTAGTAGACCTCCGAGCTGGCAGCCATTGATGTCATTCCGGCAACACCTGGAATAGTGGTGGCAGGGGCAGTTTCTTAGTTTGGGGTGGCTCTCAGGCTAGAGGACAGAGCTCCTGATCTCACTGCTCCAGCCCCTTCACAATGTCACAATGCCTAATTCCCTGTGGGTTAAACACTCTATACTGGTTTCAATTAGCTCCAGTGAAATTTGATTTCTTCAAAGCAGTCATTGTAATTATTATGGAGAAATATTTAATGATACTGAATATACTTATGGATTAAAAGAATCATATTTATTAGTCCAAGTCCCAAAACTCATTTAGCCTAAGTACAGAATCTAGCACTAGCACTACCACAATTTCAGTGATTAACTGTCAGTCTCTTCCAGGTGTGTAAGGTTTTCTTATTTCAGAGTCCTGGGTAGGAACTGGCCTTGTGGTGCAATGCTGCCATCCCAGCCCTGGCAGTTGTAGGCATCTAGGGAGATAAGCAATGAATGAAAGATTGTTCCGTTTCTCCCTCTCAGTCTTTTATGTAAATAAATAAATCTTTTTTAAAAAGCAGGGCACAAATCTCAATAATCAAAGGAAAAAATCTTCTCAAACAAGCATTGGAAGTCAGGTGCTTGCGCCAGCATGCCAGCCTCTCAGAGAGTGCACCAGCAGGATGCTGGAGGCAGGACTCAAACCCAGGCCCTTGGCTACAAAAGGCAGGTGTTCCCAAAAGGCAGCTTCACTAACTGTATCACAGCATATATAAAAGGTATCATTCTCGTTTTTACGAAAGATCTAGAAAAAGCTAAAATATGACAAAACTGGTTCAAAATATGAAATACGCATTTTAATATTCCAAATAATTTCTACTCTAGAAAGTGTTTAAATGGAGTTACTGTGAGGTTAAAAATTAATATGTAGCATACGCTAGAGTCATTCATTTTATAGTCGACAGTTCTGTCTGTACTTCCACTTAAAGAAAACAAAATACATGAAAAAAACCTCTAAAAGGTTATTAGAATGTTTGAGCCATGATTAGCAGCTTTTCCTACCATGCATATAAATCATCCCACTGCTTTTCCTTGCTTTTAATGTTAAAGACAGGAAACCACTTCTTGTTATTTGTAGCTGTCCATGAAGGCTTGAAGTGGGATTCAGACACTTATTTTAGTTAGATTTAAAAGCATACCATGCAAGACACTGCTGATGGCTCTAGTAACTGGATTTCTGCCATCCACAGGGAGAGCGGGAGACCCGGACCGAGCTCCCACACCAAGCCTTCCACTGTAGGCACCTGGAGACCGGCCAGTGGGTGCAAGTATCCTATCCCACTACTTCTCAAATAAAACATTTTAATTTTTTTTAAAGATTCATTTATTTTTAATGGAAAGTCAGATTTACAGAGAGAAGGAGAGACAGACAGAAAGAGCTTCCATTTGCTGGTTCACTCCCCAAGCAGCCACAGTGGCTGGAGCTGAGCAGATCCAAAGTCAGGAGCCAGGAGCTTCTTCCAGGTCTCCCACGGTGCAGGGTCCCAAGGCTTTGGGCCGTCCTCTACTGCTTTTCCAGGCCACAAGCAGGGAGCTGGAAGAGAAGCGGAGCAGCCAGGATACAAACTGGTGCCCATATGAGATCCCAGTAAAGGCAAGGCAAGGACTTTAGCCATTAGGCTACTGCACCAGGTCCCAAATAGAAAATTTAAGAAATTATCACTCATGTTACACATTCATACCCCAGACCATGGACATATTGAAAGACTCAAAACGTCTCACTGTTATTATTACCACCTCACACAACCATTCTTATGACATTTCCTGGGCATCTAAAAATGCGCCATCACTCTTTTAAAAACTAGGTAGAGAAGTAAACAAAAGGCTAATAATAATCCTTGCCTTCTTGCAATTTACATTCTGGTGGCAGATATACTAAACAAGATAAATGTCTAAAACAAAATATGTTAGTAAGACAAGCTAATGAAAACAAAAGCAAGCACACAGCTGGATACACAGTGTTCACAATGGTAGTCATGCTGCAATTCATCTTCTCATCCAGTCATGTGGAATACAGGACAAAGAGGAGGCAAGGGAGCTATGAGGAGGCGGTCCCACTTGGAACCACGTAAGGTAGAAGCTTTCCTGGCAACAAAAGCAACCAGTGCAATGGGAGGGAAGCAGGGGTTTAGCCAAGAAGCCAGTGCAGCTAGAGACCAGGCCAAAGCCAGGCAGCAAGAAATGGCAACTTGCTGCTAATGGAGGGTGATTAGTGTTAAATCTGGATTTGCAAGCAGGGCACACATTATGTGGCAAGGAAAAAAAGAGAGAGAATCAAGCCAAACGCCAGGAGTTTTAGCCTAAGCAACTGGAGACAGCTAGCTGCTCAGAGGAGATATCAGCTTAGTTTCAGCCTTGTAAGTCCGAGAAATCCATGTGGGATGTCAAGTGGGTGGCTGGATGCAAGGGT